TGGTCCAAGGCTCTGTGCTTCCCCCTGCTGGGGACATGGGTTTGATCCTTGGTTGCAGGACTAACATCCCACATGCTGTGCGATGCAGCCAAAGTAACAAACAGAAAAACCCTCTATCCTATTTTTTATACAGTTATAAGAAGACCTTTCTCGTGGTGACGATCTCCCAACAAGAACATGCCTCTCACAAAGGTTCTCCTTCATCCCTCTCCGGAGGAGAAGAGGAGACACAAGAAGAAGTGCCTGGCACAGAGCCCCAGTTCCTATTTCATGAGTGTGAAATGCCCAGGATCACACACAATCACCATCACATCTTCAGCTACACACACACAGTGGTTTCTGTATTGGCTGCTCGGCTGTCCTCTGCCAGCCTACAGGAGGAAAAGCTAGGCTTACAGAAGGATGCTCCTTCAGAGCGGAAGCAGCATTGAAAGTACCCTGTATCAAGATGAGTGGGAAACCATCCCCGTAAACACAGTTTGGACACCCAAGAACAGTTATAAAAGAGAAAAAGCCTTCAGCAAGCTTTATCTCTTGGCTAAAATAGATTCCAAGCAGAGCTCTCAGTATGCCACATCACCTTTGCCCCATTGAGGAAAGGGTTGCTGAATAATTACTAGACACCACATGTGTGGTTGTTTTGCAGTTATATCCTCAAGACAAGCACAAATTAAATTGCTTCCATACTTGGGAGGGGATGAGCCCAGCAGCACTGGCCTGGGCCTCCCATAGAGCTCTATTTAACAACTGGTTGATAAGGATATACAGGACCTGTGATATTATGCTAGCATGGTCAGAAATCTTATACCAAAGGATTGCATTGGGCTCTCTGTAGAATAATGCTATGAGTCAGAGAAGGACTTTCTGATTTCATATGTAGGATTTTCTCATGCTCACTGGAAGAGTGACTTTTCCTATCTTAACTCCTACCTTTAGAGATTTGATTTGGTCTGGACAGGGTACAATCTCAGGAACATTTTGCTTGCAATTTGAACTCAATTCAACCCAATTTAAGTAAAACGTGAACAAAATTGAAAGAATACTGAACATGCTTTAAAAAAAAAAAAGAATACTGCAATAACTCAGAGAGTTGAGGCATGATTCTTAGTATCTATAGCGGTTCTGAAGACCTCAGGTACTGGAACCAGGCACTCAAGACACTGTCTGAGGTCCTTCTGGATCTCATTCTGCTGCCCTGAGCATATTGATTTTATTCTGTTTCACTGTAGAAAGTAGGCTCTTTCTCTGTGATGGGAAACAAAGTTTTAGCCAGTCCTGGGCTTTCATCATGTCTGAAGGAAAAGGGGCTTCTCTTATCCAACACTAGGTTAAAAAAATTCTGGGGCAGGACTGTGATTGGCTGGGTTTAAATCATGTTTCCAATCCTTGGATGAATTCTTGCGGCTGAAAATAAGAACCATGATTGGCTCAGACTGGTTGCAAGTCCACTCCTGAGATTAAGGGGGTAGATTCTGTTACCCTAAAGAAGGGTGTGGGGTCACTGTGCTCCAGGCAGCTATAGTCCAGTGTATGCTAAGTCCTGTCTGACTCTTTGCGACCCTATGGATTGTAGCCTTCCAGGTTTCTTTGTCCATGGGATTCTCCAGGCAAGAATACTGGAGTGGGTTGCCATGCCCTCCTCCAGGGGATCTTCCCTGCTCAGGGACCAAACCCACTTGTCTTATGTTTCCTGCGTTGGCAGGCAGGCTCTTTACCACTAGAGCCGCGTGGGAAGCCCAGGCACCTATACCAGTTTGCACCATTTGCCACCACCCCACTGTCTCCTTGACTCTAACAGAGTTCCTTTAGAGGGAAAGGACTACCCATGAAGCCAATCCAGCCCAAAGAAAGAACTCTGAAAGCTTCCTCTTCATCTTGCTGTAGCTAATGTTGGCCATCAGGATGGATGATCTTGTTGCTTGGTGAAGTACTATGGTAGGTTTTATTTCTGAAGTACAGGTATGCTTCTGGAAATTACCTGAAGGTAAAAAAAAAGAAATAAAAACTTCTTGGAAAACTGCAAAGTGCTATTTCCATTGTGATCAGGGGAATACATATAGACAGATAGCCTCACATTTAGAAAAAGTTTGTCATCTTTAACATAAATTTAGAGGGCACTATTTTTGAAAAGTATTGTTTCTACTAGAAAAGGAACACGGGACATGTTTAATCCCACAGTTATCCCCTGGGAAACTGCAAGAATGATGAGGGTGCAGAGGTTCACATTAGCCTGGCATGGAGACTTCAAATGAGTGATTGGACCTGTAGTGCAAAGCTCATCTTGGCTGCCCTTGAAGTCTCCCAATT